GAGTTAACTTAATTTTGTGTCGGTTGAGCAACACAGCAGTCGTAAGTTCGATTAACTCAATTCATAAGGTACCCATCGTTCAAGTTTTTTTTTACTTTTCCGATTTGCTTCAAGTGGATTAATACAGTTTTATCACTTACACCGAAGCCTGCTGCTATTTCTAAAGTGCTTTGTGATGGATCGCTTCCACAATAGCCTTAAATCTTAATTTTCCACTTTGGTGCCCGGCCGTCCACGGGTCGAAATTACCAGAACAAAAGCGTTGAAACCAAAAACGTACCGTGCTTTGTTTTGCGACACCAGCGCCGTACACACCATTAATCCTTCAAGCTGTTTCTGTAGCACAGGTGCCACCGTAGAACTCGTACTCGTAAATATACCGATATTTCATGTTTTCCATTGTGCGTTAATAAGCGACGCAAAAGAAAAAAAATAATGAGGAAAAACAAATGAATGACTGTTTTCAAAACTCAAATGTACGGGCGAAATGAATTTTTAAATTTAAATTTGGAATTTTTATTTCAGATCAAAGTGGTCAGTACGACAAAACGCTAATTTCATATGTAAGGGCCCAATATTTGTAGGCTATACAAATGCTTGATTCGGAACTGAGTAATGGGTAATTTTTTTTTGTGGGTGAGAGGGTTGTGTGTTGTATAATTGCAGCATGCCTCTACCATGTATAAATAGTTAAGTAACAATTGCCGCAAGATTGTTCATTAACTAATTACTAAACATAAATATTCGTTTGTGTGATTGCGCAAGACTACATACATTATAAAACTAGTTCGGAATTGAAATGAAAAACATTCGAGCCTGTTATAAACCGCATGTTTATTACGTATCAAGCACAGCAGCGGCAGTTCGTTGACCTTATTGTGTAATATTTTGTATTGTACCAAAATATTAAACTTTGTGCGTGCCGTGTCGTCAGTAGGTGTCGTAAGAGGTTAACTAACTGGAAAATAACAGAAAGGCTTTCGACATATGGATTTATAACTATCTCTATGGATCTAGCCAAGCCGTGGTAGCTCAGTTGGTTAACGCTCGCTGTAAGTACGCGAGTAACCCTGGTTCGATCCCCGCCGGCACCAATATAATTATTGTTAATGTCAATTTTAAGTGCTTATTTACCACGTGCTCGGCGGAGAAGGAAAACATCGTGAGCAAACCTGTATGCCTTAGGAATAAGAAAAAAATATTTCGAAGACATGATGTGAAGTTCGCCAACACGTATTGGGGCAGCGCGGCGGAAAATTCCTTGCCCTAAATCCCTCTCAGAAATGAGATGTATATGCCCAGCAGTGGAATGTATATAGGCTGTAACTTTAGTATACTTTTCTATGGATCTATAACGATCTCGATTACGCCTTCAGTTTCCGCCGTTCAGATAAAAGTCTTGTTACTGAAACCGTCTTTACCGTCTTAGTTTTATGTTCTGATAAGATATAGCTATCTGATATAATAGTAAAAAATAATAATAATGAGTTTGGGTGTAATTTTATATACTGTAGGTATATGATATTATACAAACTTTACACTTCCATAATTTCATGTTAATTAAATTACTCAATATGGAAGTTTTTTTTAAAGATATTTTCTAAGTTCTTCAAGGAAATATTATATTATATATTTTTGGATTGTTCCAGATCTCCAGTTTACAATATCTTTATGTTTTTATAGTAAATATGTTTTTTTAATTTAATTTTTAAATGTCGTAAGAAAAATTTACGTAGTTTCAATTTTCAAATTGAGGTTTACTTGTTGCTGATAGCTGCATTTTTAGATTCGTTAACTAATTCAATAATACTAAATTTAAAAAAAAAACCTCCGTCATTACCGCGCCATTTCGGGCTAGAAGGAAAAATGTCGAACCAGCGGAAAAAATAAATTGACGGTTCTCGTCATTTGCACTTATTTATGACATTTGTGAATACAACAAAATACTTGTATTTTTTACAAAAACATATACAAGTAAGCACAAAATATTATAGGTATTAAAAGGAGGTTCATAGAACGTTGGGCCTGATGTTACAGTAACCATCACTGGCATTGAGGTATTACTTACACTAGTAACACTGCATTATCCTATACCTTTAAACGAGCAATTCTTGTGTGTATATATATATATATATATTCAGAGTGCCAACCTCAAGTTGAGTCCGAAGAAATGTTCAGTATTCTAACGGCAAGTTAACTTTTTGGGGTATGTAGTATCGGAAGAAGGTATCCGCACGAATCCAGAGAAAATCGCCGCTGTCAAGGACCGGCTGGTTCCAAAAGACAAGACGCAGGTTAGAGCATTTTTGGGTTTGTGCTCCTATTACCGGCGATTTGTGAAGAACTTTGCAGATATAGCCAACCTCTGCACAAGCTAAGCGAGGAAAAGCGACATTTCTGCTGGGACGAAAGTTGCGACGGTTGTTGTATATATATATAATGGGAAACTCGGAAACGGCTCCAACGATTTTCATAAAATTTAGTGTCCAGGGAGTTTCGAGGGCAAGAAATCGATCTAGCTAGGATTTATTTTTAGAAGATGTCTTTTAGTCCGTGTTTTCAGGCAATGAAAAACTGCTACAATATAAGAAGGTAAATTTTGACTTTGTGATAATGATCGTAATAGCTCAAGTGGATAGCGAGCGGTCGCGAGTTCGTAATGCCTTGTTTCGCGTCCTGTCTTCAGTCCGACTTTTTTTCCTTTTTTTTTTCAAGTTCCCTTCTTTTGCGAGAAAATCTATTATTTCGAGCCCTTTTTTTAGCATTTTATAAAAATACGAAAATTATAATTAATCTAATTGCACTCATGATTTTTTATTCAAATAACCAGTTCAGTTTTTTTTTATTATGTCAATAAGATCAAAAAATATTATTCATCAGTATGTAATTTGTATCTAAATGTAATTTAAAAGGAACCGAGCAAAGCTCGGTCATCCGGGTACTTTTATTTATATACGAATACCATTTAAAAAAATAAAGCGTTTACGATTGCTTCATGATAGAAAAAAATAGGGTGTTATTGGTTTGTATAAAAACAATGTTGTTGCTTATGTTATGCTTACAATTTAATTCTTACACCAAGCTCTCACGTTTTAGTTTAAGAAAATAATTATCAGACTTTATTGCTATGCTAAATAGAATTTAGCAATATTTATGTAGGACATTCACACATTGAGGATTCAGACGCCATCCAACTAAATTCTAGAGGTTCAGAGGGAGTATGAATTAAAAATACTTTCTCTTTTCATAATTTATTCATCATCCATTTCATTATAAACAATTAAAATATCGTCTAAAAACTGTGTAGGCGGTGTTAAATGCCTTGCTCAGCTTAGGTACCATATAAATTTTCCTGCTAAGCAATTACAATAATACTGTTTGATGGCCTCTCCACCATTGAGAGAACATTCAGCTAAAATATACGTAAATTATGTTTTTGAGCCTACATGTCTCGATTCTATTCGACCTCTTAATAGCCAGCTAGAATGATCGGATATTGAGAGATCTCTTAGTAGTTTGCTGTCGGTTTTTCTAGAATAATAAAGAAGTGTGGTCGGTACGGTGAAAATAAGGGAAGTCAGTATTATTTCGATTAAATATTTAATTTCTTATGCCATGATAAAACTGCTTAATATTTCATTATTATCTACTAACAAAACTGAAAATTATTGATTAATGTTACACTTGTGTAACTTTAAGCCCAGATTCGCTCGTCTTATTTGGCAAAAATTTCAATACCAGATTTTCAATATAAAGAATTTGAATTTAAATTTTCACAAGATTTCTTTGTTTTGTTGATAATTTAAATCAGTATTGGTTTTAGTATTCCTGTGAGAAATATTTTAATTTTTATTTTAATTTACCGACGAAAATTTTCAAAATTTTAGTTTTGTCATTTCTTTACTAAATAAATAAAGTTTTTAGAGTGGTAATGTTTTAATTATATAATAGCATAAGTATCCGGGAATACGTATATAAAATTTCAACTCAAAATGTAAATAAAAAAGGAATATATATATATATATATATATATATATATATATTTGAGATGGAACGCACCGTTTAGTTTGGTCCATTAGGTGTCTGGAAGCAGCATTTTTTAAAACTGATGATTAAGGCAAATCCTCCCTACACCGTAGAGGCTGGCCATATCCTGCAGTAGACTTTTATGGGCTAAAAAATTAAATATTCGTATCTATATTTATGCCTCTATGATAAAGTACTTCGACTTAATTTTGTAAATTGAAAAAAAAAACAATGCGCGTACGTGATAGAACCACACTAAAAAGCGAATTATGGCTGCGGCACGAATGGGTTAGCACAACCGTTAGAGACAAGGTTCGCACAAAATACCAGATGAAATGGAGCATCGTAAGTACTGCTATTTCGTATAATGAGTAACAAGAACGTAACGAGGTAAGTATTTCATCTTAGTCCTTATTGTAACAATGCATTAATTTGCAAATTTAACTATTAATGGTAGGGATAATAAAATATTTTCATTTGAGCGACGATTCTAGAATGATTATGGTCCGGCCATATAGCTCGAATAACCGACAGCCGATGAAAAAGTTTTCGAGAGGCAGTCTCGTACCGTGGTATGCGTAATGTAGGATTTAGGCTTGAACGATTTTTTCTGGAATTTAACGGGGAGGCATATGTTCAGAAATTTTATGAATAGGTGACGAGAAGTTGTGTCGAAATCTCCTGAACGCAGTTGATGATGACGGTGACAAAATCAGCATCATATTTTAGCGTCTTTCTAACTACACTATCCCCGATTTGTAGCTATAAGAGAAGCGGTTTGCAATAATTTAATAAAAAACGAACTTGTATTTTACTTGATGCTAAGTGGTCACTAACTTCTTACAGCACGAATTTCGGTCGCGGCGTAAATCTCAACGGAGACTAGTCATTTACACAGGAGAGGATTATAGTGCACGAGCGTGTGCGCAAACACAGGTGCACTGCCTATTCCTGCACACTCATCGTCCAATACGATGGCACTCCGAGACGACCGGAGAGAGACGAGGCGCAGGACCAACAGTTCACGTTCTTTGCGAGGTACGGACAATGAAACACCGGCAATATCCTGAGTATCCGGGTAGCTACTGAAAATATCTTGACATCAAAACGCCTTAAAGCTTGCAATTATAACCGCTTTCTTATGAATGTGTTCGATTGCTTCGATCCGTACTCATGTACTATCTCTCGTACCTATGATTTGAATTTCGATAGATTTTAATTTTTAATTTATTTAATTCAAAATTTTTGTTTTTATATTTTGTAAAATATCAATGCCATAGGCTGCTACTCCGTTCACATGTTACATCCTATTTTTTTCCAGATGGTAAAAAGGTCATCCAGTATATTTTCGAAAGTATTTAGTAAAAAGTCATTATTTTGACATAATAAAAAGATAATTCATTTTAATTTATTTGCATGGATAGATGTCTTGGTTCGGCTGATAAAATAATTGTGTTTACCTTTTCCTTTAAATATTTCTTTTTGTTTCAGGCGTTGAGCGTCGTAGGACCCATTTACCATACGACAAAAAGTCAACCATGGCGACGATATTGCATACTTTACTCATTTACTTCCGTTTATTTCTGGATAAATTGATAGATTTTATTTTCTCACTGTACTGGGACGACAGGAAACACAGTATACCAGATCTACAGAAAAAACATGCGATCCTAACTGAAAGCGCTACTTCTCTAGCGAGAAAGATCAAAGCAGGAGAGCTGAAGTCCGAGGACCTGGTACGAGCTGTTATAGAAAGGATAAAGGAGGTAATTATACTTATTATATTAATACGCTTCTTCTTCAGAAGAAGAAGCACGAGAGTAGAATAAATACAGTAGAAATGCGGTCGTTAAGGAGTATGTTAGAGCCGAATCTGAATAACAGGGTGAAAAATTGTGTGATAAGAGAAGAGTGTGGTTTGCAAGATGATGTTGTGACCAGGATTAAGAAAGGAATGCTTCGGTGGTTTGGTCATGTGGAAAGAATGAATGAGGAAAGAGTGACAAAGAAAATTTATGTGGCAGAAGTAAATGGCAGAATCGGAAAGGGACGCCCGAGGAAAAAATGTATCGACCAAATTAGCGATTTATTAAAAACGGGCCAAATTAGAAGTACCCTTAACCGACGAGCATGTATGCGTAGGTGTATGGATGTGAAGGAGGCGAGAGAGGTGTGTCAGGATTGTGCCAAATGGAAGTCTGTAGTCTCTGCCTACCCCTCTGGGTGACAGGCGTGAGTGTTTATGTTATGTTATATTAATACGCATACGTGTACGTGACCACCTCGTTGGTAAGCTTCTGGGTTCGAATCCCGGGTCGGTCCAATATGAGTTATTGGGTTTTTCTGACAAGAAAATTCTCAGTAACACCACCAATTCAAATCGGTGGTGTTTCACTCCCATGCCTCGGAAAGAACGTAAAGCTTGCGTCCTGCGCCAGATCTCGATTAAAACGTCTTGAAATTGATTCGCAAAATAAGTATCCATATTAATTATATAAAGGGTTTAAAATTTACAAAGTTAAAGCGTAGCGTATGTCTATGTAAGGGAATTTACACGGAAACATTCAGAGCGGCAAGGATATCTAACCATCCCTATAATAAAACCTATAAAAGTCTCACCACCAATATATAGACCTCTCCCATAGATTGCATTAGAGATTTTACCACGGCTGCCACGCTTGGCAAGCGTGTTGGATAAAATACCTAACGCATACTTGTTGTCTGTGTTGAATTATCTTTATATCTTTATTGGTTATCCCGATATTGTTATTACGAGAATTAATACGTGGACATCGATGATCACCGTACATAGTTTTAGGTGGTAGAACTACTTTTCTTCTCATGAGTGTATCAGGGTTGGTACCATCCTCTTATCTCTACCACCAAGCAGCGCGTGCTGTTCCTGTCTGAATTGTATTTTAAAGAAAAGAATACTTAGGACATGCATTTTTACGTGGTAGAGCCATGCTTCAGATATATTAGTAGTATAGTTGTAGCACGAATGGGTCGGCTCGACCGGGGAGGGACCACGCTGTCACAGAATACCAGCGTCAAATAGTAGCTTAATGCTACTGTGTTTAGTATGGTGAGTGTAGAGAGCCGGAGACTCTTTTTACTGCAAACGAGGCATTCCATTTTAGTCCTCACGGGTGACAACGCATCTGCATCTTGATTCGTAATCGAGGACAAATGTAGATGCACAGCAACCACTTACCATCGGGTGGACTGTGTGCTCGTTTGTCACCCTATCCTATAAAAAAGTGGCACGGTCCTAACAAAAATTCCAAAAAATATATAACTGCGGTTACCATCCCGTCTGCCAAGCAGTGGGCTTGACCATGACCCCTATGTTGCAATCTATAGGGGTGGCCTATGTTCCGCAGTGGACTATGCTTATCATAAAGCATGAAGACATTTTTTTTATTCTCGTCTGGTTGGGATTTGTGAACAGTTAACAGGATATATTAAAATATACTATATATAAAATAGAATAAAATCAGTACTTTATGGAATAAGTATATAAAATAAAAAGTCATCCATAATGGCATATGGACAACGGACCCGGAACATTTAGGTATTTTAGATCAATTTCATATGTTAATGTAAAAAAAAATGTAAAATATCAGAACCTTAGCCTTTTATTCCGTTCACCTGTTACAACCTATTTTTTTTTCAGACAGTAAAAAATCACTTGTATGAAATATATTTTAATGATAAGTACGTAAAGAAAATATATTATATTAAGAAAAGGTCACGTTTCTAACCGTGCAGGTAAATCCTATCCTAAAAGCGGTGGTCGCAGACCGCTACGATGCTGCTCTGGAGGATGCGAGAGAAGTGGATAGATTGGTTGCCGCCAGACTTTCGAAAGAAAACGCCCAGAAACCTTTCCTAGGTATTACTTTATACTTTCATTATGGACGGTGTAAAAGAAATTTACAAACCTATAAGGTACGCGCGAAAAAAATAATCCTTCCTTAGCAGTCGAGTAAAAACGTGAAATGATGCACCTTTGCCGTCTAAGACAATCCACGTGAGAAAACCGGTAACTGATTATATCGTTGGCGAAAATAAAACACAGAATTTAATAAGATAAACGCTTAAGTTTCAACGCCCACCATACCGAATGACTCAGTTCTCGTACTATCGATCATGCGGGAAGATCTGTTTACGACTTTGCCTTGGCATGTGGTCTAATACAACTGGCCCTTCGCCCACGTAGATTTCAGATGTTAAGGACTACTTACTCCCTCCCTGTTGAACCTTCTGCTGATTTCTCATCCGGGCGGCTATCAGATCTTCGTCAAAGCACGTTTTGGCTCTTCGCATCACTGTCTGATCCAGAGTACAGTGCGCGATCGGGAAGCTGTCGCCGTGTGTGGCACTATTGTTTAGCGGAATGGGATTGGATGCGGGCTTTTATTCGCATAATGGTATTTGTTTTACGCTGGATGATCCTAAAGAATTGTTGCTGAGCTTGTCGCTGATGTGATGCTTCAGGAGATGGTAATTTTTCATCCCGTATCTGTAGTGCATATCGGCGGCAGATCGCAGCCTTGATTTGGACGCTCCTGCAAAATTGCGTCGCGTTAAAAGCAGAAGTGTACAAGGCCTGAGCTGAAGCATCGGTGTCTCGAGATGCAAACAATAGAAAAAGAACTACAACTCTGCCTCCAGGTCCTTTATCACAAAGTCTGAGCACATTGGGAGAATAGGTCAGAAACTAGTTCGCCTGCCTTCAGGAACTCGTGCGTTCCGATCCCTCGCCAAGGCTGCCCAAGAGAATTTCTGTAAGCCATCATTACCATCGTTGCGCAGGGAATATGACTCGCTGACCTACACCGCAAAAGAGAAAGCCAATCTTGTAGGTTTTCGTTTTGCATCCAACTCGACTCTCGACAAAAGGAGGACATAGCCCAGACCATCTCACGGTGTGAGTACTCAATGTCTGATGTGCTGTTTATACAGTGCTCGGTGCGCAAAGCATTCTTGTCCTTACACGTCAATAAGTCGAGTGGGCCTGATGGAATACCCCCAATCGGGCTGAAGACATGTGCTCCAGGATTGGCACTGGTTCTTACGCATCTTTAGCAGTTCCATTACTCTTTAGGCATCTTTCCAGGCTCATAGAAGGCAGTCTTAGTGCACTCGATCCCTAAAAAAGTGACCTCTCAGACCCGTCCAACTATAGGCCTTGTTCCCCAAAATAATGGCATCCATTATTCACTGCCGGCTCGTGCTTGAAGAGCGTCAGCTGATGTGTGACCGTTACTAAGATTTCCGTCGTGGTCGATCAGCTGGCGAACTTCTTGTGCACCTAACTCACTGATGGGCGGAGGCCATCGAGACCAAAAGGGTAGGCCCTGACGATTAGTTTGGATATAGCGAAGTATTTCATCGGGTTTGGCTTCTTTCAACGCTTCCCTCTGGGATTTTCCTATAGGCTTCACGAAAAATTATGCAATTGGGTCACCATTCTTACAGATCGGTGTATTAAGGTCGCAGTTGACGGTGCATACTTCAACTCCAAACCTGTGAATGCTGGTGTTCCACAAGACTAGGTGCTATTGCATATTCTGTTCCTTCTTTTTATCAATGATACCTTGCATACTAGTAAAATTCATTGTGACGAAATGCAAACGACATACTCCGACGAAGGGCGTGCTAATATTTCTCAAAAGCGTATCGTCGAATGCCGGAACTACAATCCGTATATCATATGGCGTACCGCAAGAATCTCTATTAGGCCCTTTGCTCTTCTTAATTTTTATCAATAATATCGACGCGTATTTTAAAAGTTCCAAGATTATTCTTTACACTAACGATATGAAAATCTTATGTCCTATTTCAGATTTGGAAAGTTTATCTAGCCTTCAAAAGGATCTCTATAATTTAGAAGCGTACTGTTACAATAAACGTGATCTAAATGTTTCTAAATATTTTTTCTGCTCATTTACTCGTTAGCCTAGTCCTATAATTTATAATTATAAATTACACCATACCTCTCTCTCTAAATAGAACCAGCACTATTAGAGATCTAGGTGTTACCTTTGACTCAAAATTGCTGTTTGACAATTACGTTGATGATATTGTTACAAGGGCTAACAAAGCACTGGGTTTTATATTAAGATTATCGATAGATTTTAAAAGCACAAAACTTTCAAAATTCTATATTGCGCTTTTGTACGCAGCCATTTGGAATATGCCTCTGAAAGTTGGAATCCTAAATATAATGTATACTTGATAGGATAGAGCGCATACAAAAAGAGTTTTTTTCGTTATCTTCAATTTAAATCAAAAAACAATTTCAATGGGTGGTCGCAATAATATATTTTTATGTTGTGTGTACAAATTATTCTAAGTCAAGAACAAGATACCTTATAGGTTTTCTTGGGTGAGTTTACGAGTATCAAAATATGTGACATAAAAAGCCGTATCTTTTGATTTCGTTGACTTAGAAGCTTGAATTTTTTACATTTACCTGAAAATTGCTTATTACATTAGCCTACCGAGTTTTATACTACTCCGTGGTAGCTCAGGAGAGCCGTGGTACCTCGAGGACTTAGAGCTCGCTGTATTTTTCACAGTACGCGAGCAATCCGGGTTCGATACCCGCCGGGACCAATGAAATAGTAATTTGCAATTTTAAGTGCTGGTTTACCACGTGTTCAGCGGCAAAGGAAAACATTATGAGGAAACTTGCATGTCTGAGAAATAAAAAAATATTCCGAAAATATGTGAAGTCCTCCAACGCGCGGCGCACTCTTATCTGCCCAGCACCGAGACGTATATAGGCTGTAACTTTAAAAATAAAAAAATAAAATATCTTTATTTCAGGCAACAGAAAACCCATATAGTATGTTAGTAAAATTGAAGTGAAATATAACTTTTATGAATTTTAGTGTTAGTAATCAATTTAATTTAAATAAATAAAATAAACACAAATATACATGAAGATGTTGAGATTATCCGCTAAGAGGACACCGGTGTCTTATATTTTATACCTTGGCATGAAGCCTGTTAAACTGCTTTTTTAAATGTTATAGTTTACGGTATGCAACACTAACTGTGACGATAGATGTCTCAAGCGAATTGTAAACTATATGGCCAACATCTTTATATTGTGCCCATTATATTATAATTTAGTATAATAATAATAATAAAACGTTTATTTCAGATTAAAAAATCCATACAAATTTGTTAGTAAATTTATTACAAGCTATGTTAGTAAATTAAATTAAATCAAATTAAATAACTTAAAATTTTAAAATTATTAATTAAGATACTTAAGTGTCCCACCCATATGCATTTGAGTCCAATGCCCTTGAATGGGACAATCAAGCCTATCTTTAACTACCCTCACGACGCCGTTTGAGCTCCCCCGCAATCTGCGCCAGCTGGACGATATTCGCTTCCGTATGATGCCATGAAAATCGTCAACACCCGCTTCAGCAAACATGCCAGATGCACTGCAGAACACGGGAAGGCCCATCAACATCCTGAAGGCATTATTATATTGGACGCGAAGTGCATTATAGGCCCTTTGCGTATAGCTATACCACAGGCTGCAGGTGTAAAAGGTTTGGCAGTAAGCCTTGAAAAGAGTAATTTTGACCTCTCTAGTACACCTAGCAAACCTGCGGGCAACCATATTGCATCGAACCGCCAATGCCCTCCGCTCCCTCTCTATATAATGACGCTGCAATTTGTTTTTCTAAATTTAGTAGCGTCGATGTAATTAAGGCCACAGACAAGTAATTTTCGTAATGTGGAAGCGTTTCGCAAAAAGTTGCTAAACTAGTACGGCAACGACCAAATATAAAGAGATCCTGTGTTTTTAGGGTCCCGAAAACTGTTGATGATACATAAAAATTATGTACTGCATTATTTAACTATTCATCACTACCTACAAAAAAGTCCGTAAGGGAATATATTATCTAACTATCATAATTAAGCCACAATTGTAGATTTTGTCTTTTAATTAGATAGCCGGTAGAAACAAAAGTTGGTTACATTCGTATGGTAGATAAAGTTAAAGTTACAGCCTATATACGTCCCACCGCTGGGCACATGCCTCCCCTCATTTCTGAGAGGGTTTGTAGGGCAAGGAAGTGTCCGTAGCGTTGCCCCAATGCGTGTTGGTGAACTTACCATGTCTTCAAAATATTTTTTTCTTATTTCTCAGACATGCAGGTTTCCTCACGATGCTTTCCTTCACCGCCGAGTACGTAAGAAATCAACACATAAACTTGCCATTAAGAATTTCCTTGGCACTGGCGGGAATGGTAGTATTAATTCTTGTTCAAATAAAAAGTTTTATCATCAAGTGTATTTATGTAGCTGTAAAATACTTTTTAATTAATTCGAATTGGAAAATAAATTTCGAAGTTATCACGTATACAAAAATGCAATACGCATACCGTCACACGGCAGGGGGGCACGGTGCGCGAACGACGCTAAAGCGAGGTATCGTGTCACGCCGTTCAGACGCACGATATACGCGGGTGAAACCGCGGGACACAGCTGGTATTTTTATAATGATAGGCGGTGAAAAATAATACCGCAACGATTTTAAGCCTCTGTTACATTGTGAAATAACAAGCTGGTTTAAATTATGTATAACAATTATAAACAATATAATTATTAGGAATAAGTATTGAAAAGTAAACTTCCTGAAAATTTTTACATTTATTTCGCAACACTAACTCATTCCCAAAACCGTCCGACGTCATTACCTTTTTTCCTCTTTTTTTTCGAAGTGAAAACTTCTTTAGCGGCGTTGTACACTTTTTGTAATGGATAAAAAATGTTAAACTCGCGTCAGGACACGTGACCTGATCGAAATTATGGATGGAAGTTGATTTTTCTGAGAGATAAACTTTTTAATGTAATATAAATTGTCATGTTTTTGTACGATAGCGCAATAAATAAATATTGTATTCTACCACATAAATGATAGTACTTTTATACTGATAAAGCAATTCGTGCAAAATTATTCCCTAACCATTTCAAAATATCAAAATTGCACAACGTTAATATTCAAGTTTTCACTTCTGTCGGCACTCCTGGAGTGCAACCCGTCGTTTTTATTTCTTAATTCCTTCCTTTCAATTCATTCACATTCTTTCATATATTTATTTCATTTTAGTACTTATTATTATCAATCATGGTAAACAATAGCAACTCAAGTTACTCAAATGATTGTAATATAATCAATATAATTTAGATATTAAAATTTCCTACATATTATATTCCAATCCTAATATACATTTGCTATAATATGTGTTAAATATGTGTAATCGCTTAGCGTCAGCCAAACTCAGCGATTATTATTGTTATTTATTCCTTGCTAGTCCAAAGTTCAGAAATAGACTTGAATGACATAAGAAATATTGTCTTATTTGCCAGGTGTTCCTTTCACAATGAAGGAAAGCCAGGAGATGAAGGGCTTCTATAACACATTGGGGCTTTGGTCACGTCGTACGGTCAAGTCAACAGAGGACAGCGAAGCCGTTGTACTCCTAAAGGAAGCTGGTGCCATTCCACTAGCAGCGACGAATCTGCCGGAATTACTTATTTGGTAATTTGTGATAAACCTATAAGTACATATGCTAGTTCTCGATATGCGGTATATGTGGCGGCACGAAAGTCTAGCGGTGACCGTTATTGATAAGGTATCATGGGATAGTAAACGGGTCGCGGGACGAGCGTACATATCGTTCACAAGCGCTGATTGGCTATGCGTATCGTTCACACGCGCTGATTGGCTACTGCTACTTGCATACGGCTATTATGGTACTGATACGACATGCGCAGCTATCCCCTCCACATTTCGTTCAGCACTAGAGTTACGTGCCGCGACTTGTAGCTGCGAAAGCGAATCTATTGGTCCCACAAATCGACTAAGATTAATAAAGGTTTAATAAAAATAATAATAATAATAATAATAAATAATAATTCTAGTGATAAAGGGCTTACCCCTCTATCCTTAGCCCACGAGCAATGGCAGGACCCAGCAGTGCTTAGCATTTCCGACCGGGAGACCGTATGGAAGGAGAAGGAGCTCCACGGGAGGTACTACAGGGCTCTTCATGAGCCCTTCGTAGATACAGTCGCCTCCCTCAACTGGCTACGTTTCGGTGACCTCTTCGGGGAAACCGAGGGTTTTGTCTGTGCAATACAGGATCAGGTTATTAAGACCAACAACTATCGGAGATACATCCTAAAGGATGGCACCGTCGACGTCTGTCGAGCTTGTCGCCATCCCGGTGAATCACTTAGGCATGTTATCTCCGGTTGTTCGGCGCTTTCTAACTCTGAGTACTTGCACAGGCACAACCTAGTAGCCAGAATTCTACACCAGGAGCTCGCTCTGAAATATGGTCTCGTGGACCGGAAATTGCCGTATTACAAGTACTTGCCGGAAGCCGTGCTCGAAAATGACCGCGCCAGGCTCTACTGGGACCGGGCCATCATCACAGACAGGACTATTCTTGCGAATAAGCCTGATATTGTGCTGATGGACCGGGCACAGTCAAGGATATTTTTGGTCGACATTACCATTCCGTATGACGAGAACCTCGTGAAAGCCGAAACAGACAAGCAAACAAAATATCTGGACCTGGCTCACGAGGTGACCGACATGTGGGGTGGTCTGCCGACCGAAATTATTCCTGTAGTCGTCTCTGCAAACGGGCTAATCCCAGTCAGCCTCTCGGGTCATCTGAGGCGACTGGGACTACGTGGCGGACCGCTCCGGGCTCAAATTCAGAAGGCGGTGCTCCTCGATACCGCCCGCATCGTCCGCCGGTTTCTTTCCCTTTCCCCCTAACCCTCGGCCGTTTGGTCTCCCCTGCCGAGGGCCTCCATCTGGTTGGGCTTTTATTTATTTAAGTATTTTTATATTTATTTTATGTTATTGATATTTATGTATATTTATCTTTTCATTCTCATTTATAATTATATATTTATAGAACCCAACCAGATGAGAAAACTATATAGATACCCCACAATAATAATAACGTCCTTCAGACTGAATTTCAGTCCCGGCAGCCAGTTCCAACTCAGACCAGCCATCTGCGCGGCACAGGATTTTAGTGTCCGAGTGTAAGGGGGATTCTCTATTACCCCACTCTCATAGTCCGATTGGACGGTAATCCAACACGACCACAGCGAGATTAAAGGCAGGACCAACCCTCGGAGGACATTCATTTACAGTTGATTTTGTATTTATGACCGTTTTTGTTTGAAGTTCGATGAAGCTTCAGTATTCTACAACAGCTTCAATCTAGGAGTAGGAGTATTCTCCTACTCCTAGATTGAAGCTGTTGTATCAGTATCAGGACTTGCAGTACTTTAGCTCGTTTCATTGAAGCTGTTGTATCAGTATCAGGACTTGCAGTACTTTAGCTCGTTTCATTGAAGCTGTTGTATCAGTATCAGGACTTGCAGTACTTTAGCTCGTTTCATTGAAGCTGTTGTATCAGTATCAGGACTTGCAGTACTTTAGCTCGTTTCATTGAAGCTGTTGTATCAGTATCAGGACTTGCAGTACTTTAGCTCGTTTCATTGAAGCTGTTGTATCAGTATCAGGACTTGCAGTACTTTAGCTCGTTTCATTGAAGCTGTTGTATCAGTATCAGGACTTGCAGTACTTTAGCTCGTTTCATTGAAGCTGTTGTATCAGTATCGGGACTTGCAGTACTTTAGCTCGTTTCATTGAAGCTGTTGTATCAGTATCAAGACTTGCAGTACTTTAGCTCGTTTCATTGAAGCTGTTGTATCAGTATCAGGACTTGCAGTACTTTAGCTCGTTTCATTGAAGCTGTTGTATCAGTATCAGGACTTGCAGTACTTTAGCTCGTTTCATTGAAGCTGTTGTATCAGTATCAGGACTTGCAGTACTTTAGCTCGTTTCATTGAAGCTGTTGTATCAGTATCAGGACTTGCAGTACTTTAGCTCGTTTCATTGAAGCTGTTGTATCAGTATCAGGACTTGCAGTACTTTAGCTCGTTTCATTGAAGCTGTTGTATCAGTATCAGCACTTGCAGTACTTTAGCTCGTTTCATTGAAGCTGTTGTATCAGTATCAGCACTTGCAGTACTTTAGCTCGTTTCATTGAAGCTGTTGTATCAGTATCAGCACTTGCAGTACTTTAGCTCGTTTCATTGAAGCTGTTGTATCAGTATCAGGACTTGCAGTACTTTAGCTCGTTTCATTGAAGCTGTTGTATCAGTATCAGGACTTGCAGTACTTTAGCTCATTTCATTAAATGCTATGCTGCTATGCGATTTATTGTTTGTTGTGGTGATTCAAATTGTAATCACATTAGAAATACTGGAAATCACCATCATAACTCAAACTAAGACCGTATATGGCAACAACTCTAAATATTATTGGTACGATTACCTAGTTCGCAATTGCGTAGGAAATATAGTGCTGTAAAATATATTACTATATAGTTAAGGACGTAAAACTTACCTCCAGCAGCAAACTATAAAAGAACTGTAGTAAATTCTATTTTTGAATTGATTGATACTGTAGAATATCTTCTGAGTAGTGGAACGTTTAGTATCACTCTCACAATTGTTGTATCACTGTACACTTACTTACATTTTATTTTTGTCAGTTTCAAAAAATTCGGATGTCTAGCTGTGAAATTTTTATAGTTATACAGCTGTACGGAGATACCTATTTATTTATTCTTTATTTGTAACAGAAAAAGAAACTTTTTTATTCAATATACAAGATTATAAATAATATTTATTGAAAGTGATTTTTTTATTTACAACTGGTTCGGGAAAAAACCTCTGTCCTTGAAAGAACCAGCAAAAAAACCCAGCGGGACTATTTTTTTTAAATAACAGCTTACAATTATGTACACCTTACCAAAATTAAAGGGTCTATTATGCAGCCTCTACCAATAAATCCACGATATAATGAGATTTTACTATAGGTACAGTTATATAAAGTGTTATTTTGTAATAACTGGCCAAATTTGTAGAGGTTCAGGATAAGTAATATCGCCTAATGGTGAAGAAAAATTAATTAAAAAAAATCTCAAACAATCTGCTTTTTATCTTTTAAATTCAAAATGCGTGCAATGTGCAAAAATGCGCATTATATTAAGTGATTTTACTGCGCACACAGACATTCTTTAGGCTGGTCACATACATAGGGAATTTGTTTCGGAATTCCGATTCAGAATTCCGAATGCAACAAGTCCATATAAAATCAGTGACCCGTCACACACCTAGTGTATTTTTCCGTTCGAAATTTTCCGGACAAAACGGGATTCCGTATGTGCGTGGCCAACCCGTTCGTGCCGTTTCGGAATTCCGATTCACAATTCCGAACGCAGCAAGTCCATATAAAAGCCCGTTCGTGCCGTTTCGGAATTCCAAAACAGAATCTCGAAACTGAATTCCGTATGTATGTGGCCGGCCTAAGAGTCGATCGGCAGGCAAAAACGTTGGAATTCCGTATGTAGTGTGTGGCGGACCTAAATAATATTCAATTTGGGATAATTTGAAATAAAAGTAGTAGCTTTATTACTTGTATTTTCAAAACATGTCATAACGGTTTATCATCATTTAAATATTTTAACTTAAGTTTAAAATTATGTAGTAAATAGAAACAACAGTTTTAAGCTGCTATTTTACGCTGGTACTCTGGTGAGAGCGTGGTCCATCCCCGGTTGAGCGGAGCCATTCTTGCTACAACCATCAAATAGCTACAGCGTAGCTCTGCACAGAGCTGTCACTGATATTTATTGACAGATGCCCATAAAAAGAACCTTATCCTGTAATTAACACCTGCTTTAGTGGTTTAAGATCCTCAGGATATTGTATACAATGTAAATGTTGTCGCGGACAGGCAGGAGACTCGCAACCCGGTGTATGGCATGACCTACAATCCGCACCACTCGGGCCGTTCGCCTGGGGGCTCCAGCGGGGGCGAAGCCGCTCTCAGTTCCAGCTATGCGACCCCCATCAGCTTATGTTAGTGCTACAAGTTTATGTTCTTCTTCATTTTCATTCTTCATTAGTCCGTGAAAGTCTACAGCTGGACATGGGGCCGCTGTAGAGTTACAGGAGGACTAACCGTTAAATTCTTTACCGGCTACAAGCGCTCCTTATGTAAGTTCCACACGCACAGTCATGACTTACTCAAACGTCATAAGCTCGGCTTCTATCAATTAAATATTACTAAGAACATAATATTCTGTTAGAACTTATACTCAATTCCTTGGAACATACATAAGAAATATGTCAACATTTATCCCAAAAACCAACATGACCTGCTCGCGGAGCACCCCGCCAAATAACGAATGAGTTTTTTTTTTAAATAGAAGTTAGAATGAAAAACGAACACAAAGTTCACGTGACAGTAAGTGAATACTGTGTCCCACAGACACCTGCTTCTAGCATTGATTAAGAATCACTATGCACAGGTACCTATGTTGTATTCCCTGAGGGCCAAGACACATTACCTCTATACCTGTAAAAGGGTTTCTGGTTCTCAACACTCACCATACGAAACACAGCACATGCAGAAAAATAACCCTGATGTAGTAAATAGAAACAGCAGTATTATGCTGCTATTTATTTTTTTATTATTTGCGTAAAAAGGCTAGTGTTAATCATGTTGCGGCCATGATCGCTGCACCGTGACTTTACAACGAACTACAAATCTATTGAATTCTACATAGACTTATTACTATACTATTAATAAAAATTACATTAATTGTGTATAGTTCATTAACCAGGAATACTGTTCCCATCTCTGGGCTGGGGCTCCCCAGTACCAGCTCCTTCCACTTGACCGCATCCAGCGCAGAGCGGCTCGAATCGTCGACGACCGAGTGCTTTCCGATCGGCTCGATTCACTGGCGCTGCGAAGATATGTTGCATCTCTTTGCGTATTTTATCGCATCTATCACGGGGAGTGCTCTGAGGAATTGTTCGGATTAATCCCAGCCGCCAAATTTCGTGAACGCACTACGCGGCAAACGTCCCGATACCATCCACACCATCTGGATGCTTGGCGGTCCACCACTGTACGTTTCAAAAGGAGTTTTCTTCCGCGTACAACCTCTTTGTGGAATAATTTACCACCGGTGATTTTTCCGGACCGATACGACCTGGGGACCTTCAAGAAAAGAGCTTACTCCTTTCTAAAGGGCCGGCAACGCACCTGCAATTCCCCTGGTGTTGCGGTTGATCATGGGCGGCGGTAGTCACTTAACATCAGGTGAGCCACATGCTAGTTTGCCCCCTCTTCTATAAAAAAAAAACCAGGAGATGGGCAGCATATTCCTGATAATTTATATTGTTTAAGGATAGTGTCACCCCACCAAGTACAACATGATTAACGTTACAAGTATGAGAGTTATTCTCATCAACTCTTAACCTTATTTTAACTTAAGAGTCTATGAACTCTGCATACTATAATAAAACGGTAATACTGATGTGTTCTTTAGGTTCAGATATCGGGGGTTCGACTCGTATGCCGGCTTTCTATTGCGGTGTGTTTGGACATCATCCTACCGCTGGCACAACCAGCTCGAAAGGTACTAACTAAAGCAAAGCCCTTCCTCTTTTACTCTACTGTTCCTTTACCACTCTTACGCCCAAGTACTCAAAGACTACTCATTTTTAAGATAACGTTAAGTCTCGTGCTGTCTCTATCATTTTTAGCCAAAGTGACAGTGACACCACGAGATTTAACGGCGTCTTAAAATTGAGTAGCGTTTAACTATTTGGGCATACTTAATGTATTTTTGAGAATAATTTTGGGGGTTTTTAAATATGTATCGATGGCTCCTTGGCGCAGAGGCTTTGCAATAAGTTGCGGCGCTGAGGGCCGCGGGTTCGATACCCGCTAATATTATTACGGGTCTGTATGTTTGTCCTTGTGAAATTCATGTATGTAAACTGCCTATACAATACTGGAGAAAATTCTAGTGTGGGGTGACGTTTTTTTAAATAAAATTAAAGAAAAGAAAAAAGGAAAAAAAATATTTATTAAAATAATGCCGTATAGTATGTACGTATAAGTATGCATATGGCGGCTTATGAGACCATCACCCCGTTTCTCCCAGGGTGCCGTAAGAAGCGGCTATGGGAAAAGCCAGAAATATTATATGGCTTCCGATAGATGGCGGTGTATCCAACTCGTTTAACGGTTTAACCTCAGACATAAAAGAGCTCAGAGCGGCGACGGGCGGCAGAGTGAAAGCTGCGACACGTCTGATACAGCGATCGTCAATCTACCTGAAAGCGTGACATGAGCGTGAGTCGCGTGACGATTAAGGAACATCCCCCTACAACTGATGACTGCCTGCCATCATGCGGAGTCTCAAATCTCTGTCCATTAGTATGTTCCTTTCCAAACTGCCTCGCTGATCAAGTGGTCGTAGACGCGGTTGCTTATTATGACGTCCTGGGTTTGAATTCCGGGTCAGGCCGACTATGAGAGTGAGGAAATAGAGTGCACCTGTGCCTGAGCATACACTCGGGCAGTCGGGCACTATCATGATGTCCTGCACAGATGGCTAGACTCTGTTGAGACAGGCCGCCGTGACTGAAATTCGGTCTGGAGAACATTATGTTCTTCTCTCTGTACATCACCAAACAATCTTCATCCACATCATTATTTTACCAGGAGTGTTCCTCCGCAAGGGAGGCGAAGAGACCATGCTCTGCCTGGGCTTCATATCGAAACACGCGGAGGACTTGGGACCTTTGACCAAGATCATTGCAGGCGACAAAGCCAAGTTATTGGACTTGGACAAGAGTGTCAACATGAAGGTGATGATTGCAATTTTAAATAATTGTAATTAATTATTGTATTGTTTCTAATTCTAAACCTTACCATTGCTTCGAGATTCGCTCGTCGAAATTTAAAAACATGGTTGTAGATACTTTCTTCTTTTACATAATGAGTACCATTATCATCAAGGCTGCAGTAGAGTACAAAAGTAATACCGCAGACCGCATGTGTGCAACGAAACGTAAGCTTTGAGGATAACATCGGGTGATATAATACCGTGGATGTTTACTGTATAACAAGCGATCTGTGACTGTCATCCTGCATGTTTTACCAAGTCGTCACTCCATTTATTGGGGGGAAGCCCTACACTTCGTCTACCGGTACGAGGCTGCCGCTCGAGAACCTTTCTGTTAAAGTATAGACTAGCGAAAAGAATAAGTGCAATAAAAATTGCGTACACTTCTATATACTTCTTGCCAAAATTATGTCCTATACAAAAAGGCTCACAGTCGGCAAGCCTAGTTGCATCCGTCTCAGTCTAACTCTAATCACATTGTATTCTTTGGCTAATCAACATTTAAAATACTGACAAATTGTCGCATTTGAATTTTTTCAGGATATTAAATTTTATTACTTGGACTCCGCAGAAGATCACTTTGTGAGCCCAGTCAGACAGGAAATGAAGAATGTCATGCAAAGGTAATTTTTAACAAAATTAAAGTGACAAACGAACTTACAGTGTTACTTCATGGACACCTAAAGCCTACAAACAACAAAGGCTACATATGCGTTGTCACCTCTGAAGACGGAGATGGAATATCTAACATTCTGTATACTGGCTGGCTGTACACTGGCTGCATTTAGACGAGAATACTGTAGTGCTTGCATTAATGCACTACTATTTGATGGCAGAAAAGCAATGCACCAAAGAAGTAGAATTATCTGCCGGTGTCTTTCTTTCCGTCCAATTTGGGACTCCTCCAAGCAGAGTGAATAAGTTTTTGTGACACAAAGGCAATGCGATTTACCATATGTATCTTCTTTATCAGTTACCACAAGGTAGGAGTAGGATTGTAATCGCGCACTCACTTTTAAAGTAGCTACGCTAAGGTGTAGAATAATCTGCCGACGTTTGTTTTTCCGTCCGATAACAATCTCATTCAAGGCAAGAGTATGATGTTGTTACCGTAGACAATTTGAGTTGCCATCTAGGCTTAATTATGAGTTACCACCAGATAGGATTACAGTCAAGGACTGTGGTAAGACCCGATAAATTATTTTCATAACCACGAACAATGTTTGTGTTATATAAGTACTAAGCAACAGCGCTAGATGGCGTATTACCATTTCTGTACCACGATATAATTTTTTACCTGTATTATATGTAGTCTGGACGAATAAAATTGGTTGGTACCTATTCTCACAACTGAGTATTGTATTTTACTTAATTTTTGGGACATTGTTCACACTGGCTTTAAAAGACCTGTTCACCCTTGCCTTGTCATTGAAAATTGACGACACATTTCCTTTCAGGGTGATAGCGAAAATCACACAGGATTTAACAAGCACGGTAAACGCACCACAGAAATATATGCACGAGGGTTTCAACCACATGTACAGACTTTGGAGTTACTGGATGGACAAGGAGCCGGATGACTACATGGCGCTTTACGCCGGCAACGGAAAGCGCCCCAATGCCTTTCTGGAACTGGCCAAGAAGGTAAAGGCTACAGACTACTCTGTTGCTATGGAATAATGATTTCTAAAATTTTGGTGCGAATAATATTGAATGAAACTAATTTTACTGATATTATCTCGTTCAATTTGAGTTTTCAATTCTTGGCGTTTCGGGAGCTTTACATCACCCATGGTCACGGGGGGCTGATCTGTTTGACGTCTATAGACACTGCATGAACATGGATATTTTTATAGATGTTAAAAATTATTTATAAAAAATACAAACTGTTATGTCTTACCTAGTTTGAAGAGCACCTTCCGCCGTCTTTCAATTGCGTGCACTATCACTTTCACCATCTAATCTCAACACCACTCCTTACCTCTAAAGACTCACCACCGTCAATAATACGACACGTGTTGCATCATGCAGAGAAATATACTCTGCACATCATGGCTGACTGGCCAGCTAAGTCAGCTTCGAAACAAAATTATTGCCGATATAAACAACTTTCAATTGCCAAAGTAACGCCTGGTTCTATTAGTTTAGGATTATTTTCTTCATCAGGGACTATCCACAACTTTAAAAAAGAAAGATTTAATTGCGCTTTTTAAAATGGTTGGAGATGACTCAGTACGGGACGTTTCGAGCCTTTGACGGTGTATTTCTTCCATCTTTGTCCATAGTCCTATTTTATATCTGCATGAAAGGGATAGTTACAACTCGCGGAAAGAAAGTCTAGCTGTGACCGTTATTGCGCATAATTGACCGTATTACGCATTTTTGCGTATGATTGGCTGTGCGTATCGTTCGCACCTGCTGATTGGCTCTCTGATCGCATTCCGGCCCCCGTACTGATACGACATTCGCAGCTTTCCCTTCCACGTTTCGTTCCGCGCTAGAGGTACGTGCCGCGAGTTGAATGCTTCAACAGTCTTGAGGTTTTTCTGGCATATCCCATGGTCGTCTCTTACGACACCTAGGGGCGATATGAAATTGAGAAATTAACTCATAATTTACAATAATTGAGAAAATAACTCATAATTTACAATAATTCAACTCTAGAATAAATATAAACGTTATAAACATTGAAAAATAGATGTGGATCGAACCAAAATTATTTAAGTGGAAAAAATTCTAACGTGATCGCGTGCTTACTAGATGATAGGTCAAAAATAGCGCGTTTAGTAGGTGTTATACAAAGGAGCAGGAGTATTAGGAGTTTAACTGCACCTATTTCTGTCGTCAAGTAACTTTTTTTTATTTAACTGGCTTTACGGCTCTGGGTTCTAGTCCCTCTGAGAATCATTTCTTTCGTAATCTTCGTTTTTAAATATTTATTCTTCACAATATTATGCTGATGCGTCACATTGCGAAGTTTTTGAGAGATTTTGACGACAGCTTAACTCAGCAGACAGTTGATGACGACAGCCACTCAAGTTCATAAGGCGCCCAAACGATCAAAATAACTTGAGGTTTATTCAACATCAAAGCACTTGTTTCGTTGCTTTCTCTAATATTTCACACGCGCAGACACTTATGTAATTCACAAAATCGCATCACTTTTACGAATCAAAATATACTTCAAACCATTATTCAAGTGACAAAACAGAAGCGACAATCCGTCGACGGCCAAGTTTCCGCCAAAACTCCGTCAAGTAACAATGTGCACAGCTGTGTTCCGGTTTATAGGGTATAATAAATATTTTATGACCATTGACATTGTAAAATTTATTTTATTTTACAATGTAATGGTCATAAAGTATTTCCAGCTGTCGGTTTCTTGCTGGTTCTTCCCAGGACAGAGGTTTTTTTCGAACCAGTGGTTAAAGTATAAACTTGACTTTCAATAAGAACATACATAAACATAAACACTCACGCCTGTCTCCCAGAGGGGTAGGCAGAGACTACATACTTCCATTTAGTACGATCCTGACGTACCCCTCTCGCCTCTTCCACATCCATATACCTACGCATACATGCTCGTCGGTTAAGGGTACTCTTAATTTGGCCCATTTTTAATATATCGCCAATTTGGTCGACAAAATTCCGCCTAGCACGTCCATTTCCGACTCTTCCATTCACTTCTGCACCATATATTTGCTTTGTCAGTCTTTTCTCATTTATTCTTTTTACATAATCAAACCACCGAAGTATTCCTTTCTTAATCCTGATCACCGCATCATCTTGCAAACCACACTCTTCTTTTATCACACAGTTTCTCACCCTGTCACCCAGATTCAGCCCTACCATACTTCTTAGCGACCGCATTTCTAGTGCAGTTATTCTACTCTCGTGCTTCTTCTGCCACACCCAACATTCACTACCATATGTTAAAGTAGGGACTAATACAGCATTGTGAATTGCCATACGTGCCTTTTTTGATACATTCTGACTTTTAGCAATAGAATGTAGAGCCCCATTTACTTTATTTCCTGCATTCACTCATCGTTCAATATATTTTTTATTTATTTTTTATTTTATAGAATACGGATGACTAACGAGCACACAGTTCACCTGATGGTAAGTGGATGTTGTAGCCTATAAACATCTACATTCATCTTCAATTACGAATCTGATATAATAGCTGATCCTTATCATATCGCTCATCCCTAATATATAAATTCATCTACTTGCTCAACCATATCCCCTTCTATTCTTATTTCACATATCGTTTTACTTTCTCCTCTTTCAAAAACCATAACTTTCGTCTTACTTTCATTCACTTTCATTACCCTTTCTTTTAATGACCTGTTCATCAATGTAACCATCATTTACAACTGGGCCGCCGACGACGCAAGTATGACTTGATCATCGGCGAACAAAAGGCATTTGATAGTTAACTCACCCATTCTTAACCCGCATTCTTCAACTTTCAAATTTTCCAAACAGCTGTCCATAATTAGATTAAACAGCCACGGGGAAGCTACACAGCCTTGTCTGATACCTTTATGGATGCCAAACCAGTCCGAGTAGGCCCCGTTGATCCCAACACAAGCACTCGGGCCCTATACAGAGACTTTAGTGCCTGTATCAACCCAGCGCTCAACCTAAATGAGTTCAGCGTTTACCATAACACAACCCTGTCCACTCTGTCATAAACCTTCTCCAAGTCCATGAACGCTCAAAAAACTTTTTGGTTCTTCACCAATAACTTCTCCGCGATCATGCACATGGAAAAGACTTGATCTGTACACCTCATTCCCTTTCAAAATTCCTCTTGCACATCCCAATTTTTTCCATCAGTTTCTTTCATAACTCTCCCAATTAGTACCTTAACATACAGTTTTCCCACAACGCTAAAAAGGCTGATACGGCGGTAGTTTTTACAGTCCTGCTGGGACTCTTTTCCCTTATATATTGGGACTATCACGGCTTTGCACCAGTCTCCCGGTACCCGCTTCAGTTCCCAACATAAATTAAACAAGTGTACAGCAGGCCTGCAACCACTTCCTCGCCAGCCCTTAGCATATCGAGTGAAACTCTATCATATCCGGCTGCCTTACCCCCTACTTTCATTCTTTTCATTGCTTTCATTATTTCATCTATACTTATCTCCCTATCTCTTTCATCGTCTCTCGGAACTTTTATTTAATTTAGTTCACACGTCTCCCCACTCATAAATACATTTTCAAAATATTCCTTCCATCTCTTTAGACTCAACACTTCATCATTCAGAATACAAAATGTCCCCTGGTATTTCTTACGAGTTTCCAGAACATTAATGTTTGCCTGGAAGTGATCCGATATTCTTCTATCATTCTTATCCGTTCTTTCTTGCTTTTTTTCTTTCAACTAATTCTTTTACTCTCTTATTTTGACGTTTAAACTCTGCCTTTTTTCTTTCAATTTCATCATTCATACCGCCAGAATTACCAGCTTTGGTTGCTAGTAAATCTAGCCATGCTCTCTTTTTTGCTTTAACTTCCATATGTACCTCATCTCCCCACCATAACGTTCCTTTCATTCGTTCTCTTACTAATACCACATACTTCGGTAGCTGCATCCTTAGTGAATGAGCCTTTCTTAACATTATGCCACACATTCTCCAAGTCTAACTCGTTCACACACAACTCATCCAAATCACTTATATTTTCTCTCAGTCTACATTTGTACTTGTCTTTCACATCTTAATCTTGTAACCTCTCAATTCTTATACGCCAGGGATGGCAAACCAATGGCACGCGTGCCATCGATGGCACGTGACACAATATTTTGGGCACGCGACATATCACAAAGTTCACTATGAAGTATTATATATATTATATTATATATAAGTATTACGAACGAACGCGAATGACCCTACTAAGCACTATCGTTTGTTACTGTAGTTACATCGTGGACTACTATTGCTAATGACGCGTAATTCGTTTCATCATCATCATACAGCCCTTCAAAATTCCACGCTTCCCCCAAAGAATGCGTAATTCGTTTAGGCATAGCATCTTGGTCAATTTCGTTGAAACAACTGTATTTTTTAAAGTTCATTTGTGTTATATTTACAATTTTACAACCAATATAAGTTATTTGTCATCTAATCTGCAACAACAGAAGTCACACTAACGTTAGTTTAATTTGAATTACTTAAAACTCCTTATTTATTTTTTATGGTAAATAAAGAGTTTTGAGTCGATAGTATTAAGTAATATTTTCCCAATAATCACGAAGTCAAAATAACTTCACGGTACGTCTATGACGTCATTAAACATTTCTTTATAAAAGTGGCACGTTAATATATAAAGGTTCGCCACCCCTGTTATACGCTATAACGCAGTGGTAGACACAGATGTCCGATGCCGCCAACGTCTGAATAAACCCCTTATTCGGCATAAGACCAGGTAAACCCTTGTATCCACCTCTGCGCTCCTCATTCCTTCATTCACAGTTATGAAATCTATCATGCTTCTATCATCACTTCTTTCCCACGTATACATGTGAATCTTCATATGACGAAAGAAAGTCTTCGTCACAAAAAGATTTTTTTCCACACATACGGTGAGGAGGCTTTCACCATTCTCATTGATACTTTCATCACCAAACGTTCCCAATATCCTTGCATAGCCAAGCCTCCTCACCCCAACCCTTCCATTAAAATCTCCTAACATAACAATATTTTCATTTTCCTTACATTTCATTAACACCATCCTTACCATCTCCCAAAACTGCTCTCGGATATAAGTGGGCTTAGACATGTCTGGGGCGTAGACCCTTAGAACAAACAACTTCTTTAGGCCAACTTTTATTCGTATCCATAGCAGTCTTGGGCTTACACATTCATACTCTTTCGCACGTTGACCCATTCTTTCTGAGAGGATGATACCGAATCACTCGGATACCCGCTCGGTCTCGTCTACACCGAACCAATACGCGGTATACATGCCATGTGTAGTGACATTCTTTTCCTTCTGCTTCGTCTCATTTACACATAACACATCTATTCCTCTATCATACATCATATCGCATACTTAATCAATCTTATCATTCATTGCTCCCCATACATTCAGCGTAGCTAGACGGGCCTCCGCAATCCTCTTTTCGCCCCTCCAGGAGACAGAACGTGACGGGTGATGAACCTCGTCGCCGGTTTTCCTCCCGGAGATTCTTCGCACCTCGACCCCATTAAGGGTGCGCCGGGAACTCGGGGCCATTTACTTTCCTCTTTGCCTCATGGTGAGAAAACTAAACAATATTTTACGCCGCTACCACACGGCGAGTAGCCGAGTCTGTTCTTTCGGCTTTGTTGCTATTTTAGCACCACCCGGGGGAAAACGTGTAAGGTGGGCCTAGGACTATGGCCTATGGTCTACGGACGCGAGCGACTTATCTCCCCGTATAATAATAAGAATTACTTGTAAACTATATTGAATAAAAAATTATTCTATTCCTTATTACTAATTATTTTATTACAAGTGGACTGTTATTTTGCTAGTTACATCAATTTTATAAAAATAAAGTAATAGATCAAATTCTCATGTCATCGAAATATGTTTCAATTTCTCAGACATGCAGATTTCCTCAAGATATTTTCCTTCACCGCCGAACTAAATTAAATATCATATAAGTTGATTGTAACCTTAGAGTACCTATACATAAACAGCTTGCTGTATACTCGAAAGCTCTAACCATACATTTGTTAGGTACAAAGTTTTTCTTCATATAATTTATTTAAAAAAAATTAATCCTATACATAATTTACCAAATAAAAGAACATATTTTAAAACCAGATTTATTTTTCTTACAGCTGCTCGGAATTAGCCGGCACTGCCTATTCACAATATTACGACTGTTCGAATTGCAGCTGTTTCCGAAGGTTCAAGGCGAATGGGCCGAGAAACTGACCAAACAAATGAAGGACGACTTATTCGTAAGATTATTGTACAATTATCTGCTTATTTCCATAAAAATAAAGTATACAACTTTGGCCTTACTCATAACAAGTTTTAACCATTAAAAACTTTAGTTAATAAAACCTACGGCATTAAAAAGTTTACTGAACAAGTGGTAAAATTAAAAAAAAATAACAACTGGCTTCAATATGTATTCGAAGTCAATTAAATACGCATTATTAAAGATAACTCAAAAACTATTAGTCAGATCCTGATTTTGACCACATGAGAAGCACCAGCTATCAAATACAATAAAAGGATCATCAATATCAGTTCACCCAGAGAACCTAGATTGTACAACCAGTGCGTGTTGCCAGTGATGACTTATGGATCTGAGACGTGGTCCTTCACTGCTGGCCGTATGAGGACGCTTAAGGTCGCTCAGCGAGCTATGGAGAGGGCTATGCTCGGGGTTTCTCTGCGTGATAAACTTAGAAATGAGGATTTCCGTATTAGAACCAGAGTGACCAACATAGCCCAAGTGATTAGTAAGATGAAGTGGAAATGGGCCGGCAATATAGCTCGAAGAACCGACAACCGATGGGGAAAAAGGTTCTCGAGTGTCAGCCTCGTACCGTTAGGCGTAGTGTAGGGCAACCGCCCACTGGATGGAGTGACGACCTGGTATGGATGTAGGTGGCTCAGGACCGTGCTTTGTGACATTCCTTGAGGGAGTCCTTTGTTCAGCAGTGGACTTGTGAAGGGCTGTAATGACGATGATGATATAGCGCGCATGGTGCCACAGTTTGAACATCCATTGCGTTGCAAACGCAAGCAACCTAGTGCGGAGCGCATTTAATTACGCCAGTAGAGCACTGTGTGAGCAGAAAGGGCAACATCACAGCCTCGTGAGGAGTAGAGCGGTGAGCAATGCGAGGAACATACACTATGTTGGTGGAGCCAAAATATACATAGCATATATGAACTATCAAAAACTTGCGACCTAAATTATGTCGTGTACACGAACATAACATAAAACGGACCCACGGCAACCGGCAACGCACATACAATTCACCTCATGCTGCAGTTGTTGTCACTTACCATTAGGTGAGCCTCATGCTCGTTCACCCTCAATTATATAAAAAGTTGTGTTCTGTAGTACGAACGGTATCGCGATGGTCAACGGTTTTGGCTTCGGCGCTAGTGGAGTACGAACACTAATCTCGCATGGAAGTATTTGTACGGCCTACAATTTTTTCTGGATTTGGATGTAAGTCCATTTACAATTTATGTGTGTTCAATACTTCGGAAAACGATGATGAAATTGATGAAGCATGCAAGGAATACCTATATGGGCAATCGCGAAGAAGCAATGGGACCTTTCACATGCGAGAAAGTCAACCTATGTGCCTTCCTCTCTCTTTTGTTTGTCAACGGATTATTGCCGTTACGTTTAGAGCCAAATAAAAGTCAACAGCTGAACATGCCCCCCCCCCCCCCCCCCCCCCCAATATAGATTGCCTCATAGTTGCCACGCTTGGCTGGCGACAACTCGCAGTTTTTAATTTTTTTAGTTACATTATTTTTTATTCTTTATTATAAGACAACTCAGTGACATTAAATGACGTTGTCATACCCTACAGTAAATCTGTAAAAAATCTGGGGATATATCTAGATTCTACCTTGTCGTGGTCGCAGCAGCTAAAACAAGTGAGCAAAAAGGTGTTTGCTACTATGGGTTCACTTCGTCGTTTACGTTCTTTTCTCCCCATTCCCACTAAGATTATGTTAGCACAATCCTTACTTCTCTCTATTCTCGATTATGCGAACGCAAGTTATCTCGATTTAACTAGACCAACTGAACAAACTTGAGCGAATTCAAAATATTGCTATTAGGTTCATATTTGGTTTGCGCAAATATGATCATGTATCCGAATATCGTTTACAGCTCAAGTGGTTACCCATTCGCTTTCGCCGGAATCTGCAAACTGTATCTCTTCTGTACTGTGTGTTGTTCAATCCTTTGACTCCAAGCTACTTGAAGGAAAACTTCAAGTTTCTTGGTCATGATCGACCTGATAGAGTTCTTCGGTCAGCCGGCGAATTAATTCTAGAACCATGTTCATTTCGAACAAAATTTATGAAATATTATTTTACGAACCAAGCCAGAAGGTTACGGAATGAACTTTCACTCCAAATTCAACGTGCACAAACTTTGGAAAGTTTCAAAAGTGACGTCAAGAAGCATTACCTAACACTTTGTGGTTATTGATAACCAATTCTAGCAACAGATAGTTATTCTGTGTTTTTCTTTTTTTTTCCTCTTTGTTTTGTATTTATTTATTTATTATCTATGTATATATATGTATGTATATATATTTATATATATATATATATATATACCTATTTAATATGTATGTTTATTTTATTATTATTTTTTTTTTATGTATTATTGTGGTGTTTTAACAAATATAGTTTAGTTTATTTAGATATTAGAATGTAAGTGTAACATAAAACGCACCACCTCCTACTGTTCTTAATTCCAGTTTCTTCTTAGCCCAAAAGTTGTCTGGAAGAGATCGCTCTTAGATATTGGGTGCGTTTGGCAGAAAAAAGCGCTAGCAAGCGCTTGTAAGCGCTGAAATAGTTTTCGGCCAGGACACGATTGCTACTTCAGTAGCGCTGACACAATCCGCCATTTTGCTTATTTAATTTGTTTGTTTTGAAGTAGAGTTTATAAGTTGTTTTGTGCAATATTAGTTTTAAGTAATATAATGACATGAATAAACATATATGTGTTATTAAAAATTCATGATTGGTAAGTTTTTAATATGAATACTTTACAAACATATATTTAAATAAGGTTAGGTTCTCCGGTTAAAACTAACATCGTGTCCTGGAGGAAAATAGCTACTTACGATTTGACAGCGCTTACCGCTTACGATCGCCATTTTGCTTACAAGCGCTTACTAGCGCTTTTTTCTGCCAAACGCACCCATTAAGTTTTCTCTGTAATGTGTTTATTCGTTGTATATGTGTGGTGTACAATAAAGTATATACTACTACTACTACTACTACTACTACTACTACTACTACTACTACTACTACTACTACTACTACTACTACAACTTCATCAAGGGTTACAACGGGCGGACTCAATGAATTAGAACGACGCTGCTACTCACCTCCTTGTTTATTACTCTAAATCGCCTCTTACGGCACCCGTGGCACCGATTGGGGTATTGGATATTCTTACACAATAAAGTGAGACAAGAAAATTACGCCCGAAATCTTTTTCATTCACTTTCCAACGTTGTTTCTAATAAACTGGCTTATTCACCGAATTATGATTGTTATTTAATACGTAAACTTAACCGTGCTTATCAAGACTACAGTAAGTTTATAATGATAATGATGATAATATTTGATGTTTGTTAACACATATCAAGGATCTTAACATAATTGGACTTCACTTGTGTGGATAAACCCTTTAGATTCATTAATATATTGATGTAAGAAAGTTAATGATGATTGTTCCAGGGCAAGTTGGGTGACAACGGCGTATTACTGCTGGTGAGCAGTCCACACGCCGCTCCGTTCCACTACTCGTGCATGCTGCGACCATTTAACTTCTCCTACTTTTCGATCGTCAACGTACTCAAGTGTCCCGCAACACAGGTAGTTGGAACAGATGATGTCTTCCTGAGCAAGAATTCTATGTATACTTTTAAACAGGCAATATAATACGATACTACATTGCGCAATAAGTTACGATCAATTCGTCGTAACTTCTTTCCACAGCTGTAACACAAGTGATGTTCAAAATTGTCCGTCCAGTATTATACATAGAAATATTTACACGTGGTAGAACCACGTTTTGTTTTTTTGTATATTATTGTAGCACGAATGGGTCAGCTCAACCGGGGAGGACCACGCTCTCACAGAATACCAACGTAAAATACCATTAATACTGCTGTGTTTCGTATGGTAAGTGTAGAGATCCGGAGACACTTTTTTGCTGGAAACCACGCATTCCATCTTAGTCATCAGGGGTGACAACGCATCTGCGTTTTGATTCTTAATCGAGGATAAATGTAGATGTCAATGGGCCACAGCATTCGCTTACCATCAGGTGGACTTTGTGCTCGTTTGTCACCCTTATTTTATAAAAAGCCCACTAACTCATTTCATCTGAAATTTAAAATGTTTATGCTTTATTTTTCCGATAAAACAGTTCTTTGTCTTAAAATAAAAAAATAGCTTTCCACTTTATATATGTATTGAACTCATCAGCCAATAATATATCTTCCAGAAATTATTAGGAAGATTGGTATCTAATAACAGGCGTCGCGTCGCTTACCGTTATTACAGTCTGGAATATTTAAAAGTTATTTAATAAGTTTTAACGTAAGACTCTAAAGTCAACATTTTATTTCCTTCCATGTTTATTGTCAAATTATAGTTTCTTTTGCCCGTATCATCATTGTAGAAATTAAGGGGAAATATAACCTCAAATGGCTTAGCAAGATCCTCCGTTATGCCGAAAGTATTGCAGCATTAATTTTGAAATAAATATATGGTAAAGTTGAGGATTAATGTTAAGGTTTATGTTAGACGAAAACACGATTCCGTAAAATTTTCTCGATAGGAAAAAAATCCAAAGTTACCTCCAAACTGAACAATAAACCGCTGTTATTCATAAAATACTTTAAATAAGATCATGAAACTTTGCATACTAACTGAACTAACCATAAAGCAGTGCTTATGTTATTTACTTTTTTAAAATATCATTATTTTCACTGTAAAAAGAAATTACCTAAACTATCGGCGCGTAAGCTTGGTTCCTGCGGAGCGACAGGACCTGTTCAGTTTGGAGGTAACTTTGGATTTTTTTTTTTCGAGAAAATTTTACGGAATCGTGTTTTCGTCTAACATAAACCTTAACATTCCTCAACTTTACCATATATTTATTTCAAAATTAATGCTGCAATACTTTCGGCATAACGGAGGATCTTGCTAAGCCATTTGAGGTTATATTTCCCCCTTAAGCAGTCCCGACACATGAGTAGAAATTGATTTATGATTTTTTTAGCTTCGAATTCGTGGTATTATTATTTATCTGTTCTTCGGCTGTAGTTATAAAATAACATAAATTTATTTACTCTTCAGGTCCCTCTTGGCACGAACAGCATAGGCCTCCCGATTGGCATACAAATTTTGGCTGCTCCCTACAACGACGCTCTCTGTCTGGCCGTTGCCAAGTACCTGGAAAAGGAGTTTGGTGGTGCCGTCATGGCCTGCAAAGTCAAGACGTCATAATGACCATGTTAAAATAATAATATATAAATACTATGTTATCCAATAAAACGATAATAGATTTATTTACTATTAGTCCTCATGCATAATGACTATCAAGTCTATATGTGTAAGTAGCTTAGAGTATATATAAGCATAGCTTGCTTATCTAAGTAGCATTGATGTAATATGTACGTAAATTCGTTGCTTGGTTGTTATTAATACTTTAACATTTTGTATTTTCTTTAAATTGGTGATGTTATGATAATCTGTCATTAGAAATGCAATGAAAATGTAAAAAAAAATGGATATAATTAGGGAAATTGTTACGAACTCTGTTGATACTCCTTTTAATTAAATAAATAAGTGGAAATTGAATTTTTGTGATTAATTTTACTGCATTTCCAATCCGAATTTCCCGTTACAAAATTCTGTTATGAGAATTGTATCGTATTATATAGTTTATAGTTAGTGGATACTGGACACATAAGTATGGGTTGTGGTTTACTTGAAAGAGATTTGCCCCCTGTAGACTGATAAGCAATGGCACTACTAATCGTCACGCTTTAAGATAATATGGTCTCTGTCATCGCTCTAACAAAAGGAGTGCACACTGTACTTAACAACAGTCGTTCATTTGTTCTTTAAAGCTTGTCAAATTCCGCCGCTGAACATACGCCTCCTCATGGATTGCCTCTTTAGGAGAATTTCTAATTGCCATAGTTGCCACTAGGGTTGCCATCTTAAAACAGAAAAGCCGGACAGACCAGCGAGCTCAGCCGGATATTTTGGTAAAAAGGCCAGACACCTTTATTTTTTTGTCTTAGTAAAATACATTTTTATAAAGTAAAACAATGATTTTTATCATTTACCGTAAAATTTTCTTAAGTTCTAACGAAATAACCACAATTGAATAAATCAGTTTTCTTTATTATTAACTATTCAATATTAATTTCAATAATTGCAATAGTATGTACTATGTAAGTTTATGAAAAATGTAAACAAATGGTTTAATTAAAAATCCTAACAAAAGCCGGACACCGTCTAATTTTTCCGGACACGCGAGCAAAAAGCCTGAATGTGTCCGGCTTTATCCGGACGTCTAGCAACGCTTGTTGCCATTCATTGTTGGCGGGTTAGCAACTGCTAGACGCGGCTGCCAACCTCCTGGTTTGTTTAACTCTAAGAGTACGAGTACTCTAAGAGGCGATTTCTTACAACACCCACGGGAAGATATGGAGTAGTGGATATCCTTACACCGAATATACCATAGGTACCGTGGAATTCATTAACAAATAATTAGAACACAAACAATAATAAATAATTAGAACATAAAAGACATGAAAATTAATTAGCTTAGATTCTAAAGACTTAGGTACGAGACTCATTCTTCAATTTCGTAGTGCGATAGGCCGGTCGGTAGAAAGCCAACACAGTGAGTTACACTTTAAGAAACAAAACTATTAGAGAATCGTGGTGAAAATTATGCTAAAATGAATTAGACATCGCCATAATATGTAATATATTATCTTTTGCATAGATTGCATTTAGGCTCTTGAAAAACCCTTTTTTATAGAATGAAATTAACAAACGGGCAAAGAGTCCACCTGATGGTACGAGGATGCTGTGGCCTGTAGATATAGACATCTATCCTCGATCAAAAATTAAAATGCAGATGCATTGTCTCCCCTGAGGACTAAGATGGAGTGCTTCGTTTACAGTAAAAAGGGGTCTCAGGTTCTCTACACTCACCATACGAAACACAGCAGCATTGGGTTGCTATTTTACGTAGGTATTCTGTGGTAGCGTGGTCCTTACCCGGTAGAGCCAACCCATTGGTGCCACAACTATATAGTATAGTTGTACCACGTACATAATTTTTTTTTACTATTATTAACTTCGATCAAGGTAGTGAAAATGTTAAACAATTATTTATAATACGAATGTATCATTATTTCTGCCGCCAAATAGCAGTGTTTTGTTCCGGTTTTTTTTTTGCGCCCGAAGCAAATATGGGCAACCCTCCGGAAAGCGGGGGAGGGAAGCGGTGAATGCTCATAGCATACCACGCACCCGGCTGCGTGGTTATGTGAAGACTTTTACCCACTAAACACCGCCTTTTAGGAATTGGCTTAACGATCTGACTAGAGATCTCTAAGCCGTATACGAATGCGACCCTCCTTGGCAGAAAGGAGGGCGCAAGCGGTGAAAAACCGATTAGAAGAGTGCCTTACTAATGCAGATTAAGGGATGTGTTATGTAGGCTCGGCCTGAGCCGCCAGGAGGCAGTTCAGGTCAGCCGAAAGCTTGTTGGGGGGGTCCGAGAGAGAGTTTCTCGGTCTGCGCACACTATAGCGAGTGTGGATAGGGGCTGCATAGGCAGCTGTCTCACGAATGAGATGATTTGGTTGGGACTCTGAGGCTTTGAAAAATCTCTCAGAGAGTGATTTAAGGAACTGCTGGATTGTTGGGAGCTCTAAGTCTCGATGTAGTTCGGCATTACGGACATAATAGGGCGAGTTAGTGGCCCTACGACAGAAGGCTTTTGTTCCGGTCTGAAGGGGTATAATTATACAGGATATCTATATTCATATATATGTATATATATATATATATATATATAAATATATATATATATATATATATATATATATATATATATATATATATATATATATATATATATATATATATATATATATATATATATATATATATATATATATATATATGTATATATAATTCCAATATTATCAAATATACATAATATAATTGTGTATAGCGATGACATGGGTAAAAATTTAGGCATAATTTTAAATAACACTTTTAAGGGACAAAAAATTACAAATTGCTGCATGCCTGGAGCATCTCTTAGTGACATTCTAATTAAATTATACTAAATTTTGTCCAAATAGTACAATAATAGTTTTGGTTGGTAGAAGAGGCAGTGTAAACAACAAACAATTATTAAGATATACTGAACGACTTAATAACTTAAATGTAAATAAAATTGTCTTGTTCACACTGCCTTATATCGGCTGTCCCAGAAGTCGACGTCAAGCCGAAACTTTCTGATAGGCGAGGCCATACTAGTTACCAGAAAAATATAAAAAAATCTAAGTCATGTATTTCAGAAATTATAGTAATTTTTTTCTCTCTCTCTCTCTCTGTCTCTGCCCTCCGTCTTGTTCACTCATTTGCGTCTGTGTCTCATAAGCGTCACTATCTGTCTCGCTCACACTTTATGGAATGTCTCTCTCTATCTCATTTAAACAACGCTGTGGTTATTAGGAACGCTTTGGTTGCACTAGAATCGTTTTAATGTAAGTTCCAAAAAACTGTTTAAAACTGACCTTGTTTAACAAAAAAATTTTTATGGCTGATCTAAGAAATAATGGCGTAAGTGTTATACCACGTTAGAATCCTTATTAAATGCGCTAACTTTTAAAGCTACTTGCCAAACTGGCGTAGTACAATTTTTTTCCAGGACGGTCAGTTGAAGTAGTGCGAAAAACTAATTCTGAAAACTTGGTTCGGTATAAAATTACATTTTCTTTCAAGCTGGAGTGATCGGCACAGGGTTTAGGATTACAGGTTACAGAAGCTCTATTCAGGATGACATAAGAGAAAAAAATTTGGCAAAAAGTAAACATTTGTAGCAACAGGAATGAAAAAACTGTCTCATTGTGTACATTTTATCGAAGAAAAAAAAACTATAATTTCTAAAATACATGACTTAGATTTTTTTATATTTTTCTGGTAACTAGTATGGCCTCGCCTATCAGAAAGTTTCGGCTTGACGTCGACTTCTGGGACAGCCTGTATATATATTGCCACAAAAAAATAATTTAAGACACTGTTTAAATTTACAAATGAATAATTTAATTTGTAATAATAATTTAAATTTGACATGTAATGATAATAATGACAAATTTCATTTAATTGACATAAATAATGTAATATTATTATTATTATTATTATTATTGAACACATGATAGGTATTACCTTTCCAAATATTATTTAAGACTGATAGCAAATGTGCTATCTTAATAATTACTTTTTAACTCAGCCAAGTATTTGGCTACCAAGACTGCTTCTATTGAGCAGCATAATGATTTGACACTTCATTTGGAATCAGTTCCAATTAATTTAAATTAGTGAATGCGAAAAGCTAAGGCTTTACATTTAAGCAACAAAATTAAAACTGCATCCAACAAAAGCAAAATGACGTGGAGTATAATTAACAGTGAAAGGGGCAAGGTTAAACCACGCAACTTTGATCTTCAACTGAATATTAACAATAGTTTGACTCGATCTGACCAAGAAGTTGCTATGGCTTTTTGAGAAATATTTTACTGATGTTCCTTTTTTTGACAACAAAATCATTAAATTCTTCTCCTACTATCGCCGAATCATTGCTTAAACAAAATTTAAAGGCTTGTAAAATATTTTTAAATTCCATAGAGTATTTGCCAAAAATCATTAAATATTTTAAAACTATTGATGTTAAGAATACTCAGACTTATTGGAGATTTCTATTAAAGTTATTGCATCCGTAATAGATACAATAGCACCTTATCTAGCCACTATTTTTAATACAAGCGTCGAAACTGGTGTGTTTCCTAATTTAATGAAACATAGTAAAGTTCATAGATAAATAAATATGTAGCAAGCTAGTAAAGTTATACCTTTATTAAAAACTGGTAGTACATCAGACTCCGCCAATTTTAGACCAATTTCTGTACTACCAACTTTAAGTAAAATGTTTGCATTGAGCTATTATGTACTACGTACTAGAGGCGACACTGCATTCAGCTACTCTGTTCCACTCAACTGCAGTGCATGCACCGCACTTTAATCAGTCACTCGCTAGGCGCTTGTAGGGTTGTCACGTGTTGTGTTGATTTAAAAAAAAAATTCTTGACAAGAATATGCCGTCGTGTATACTTAGATATTGGGCAAATCATTCAAGAAATGTCAGTAATAACCAAGGTATTACTTTTCATCGGTTAATAAGATACTTA